GGGGGGTTCAATCTCAACAAGTGCGCCTTCCCCAGCTTGGGGGCCCAGTGCTTTTTCAACTCCCCCGCCTGCCACAAAAAGGAAATCTCCCATTACAGCCACACAATGGTGGCTTCTTCCTACTGGCATGGGAGCCAGCTCACTCCAGTTTGCAATCCCTGCTATGTGAACATTCTCCTGGTCCACAGGATTGAAGTATCGGAGCTCTTTAACTCTGCAGATTTCCCGTTTTTTTCCACCAATGATGTAAAGAGTGTCTGACTGGAAGCGGGGTTTCGTCCTTCTGGTCTGCCAAATTGGTTGTGCATAAATACTTTGATGATAGACCAAAGCCTCATTGATAAGTGCTGTTGCAGTTTCACTAGTTTGGACAAGGGGGTGTGAGAGGGCAACCGTATGCAGCGTATCCACATCCATAAGCCCAAACCGAACATACTGTAGAAGTTCATCCATGTACTGATATCGGCAGTTGTGTTCTAGCCATTTCACAGCTAGCTAAAAGGGAGGAAAAACATTTTAAAAATGAACTTATCTACATTATTCACAATTCGGTGTGAGAAATACATATTTGAATTATTCAACTTATCAACAAAAAATTATACTCCCAAATTTAATCTGCTGCATATATAAAAACATCCCTTCATCTCCCCTAAAATAATGATGACTGTGTGTAGAATTAATATATGATAACAGGGCTGTCTTGTCTTAGCAAACATTCAAATAATGGGTGCCCTGCATAAACAAGAAAGGACAATGCATGACAACGTTAGAGTTTTTCCATAATGACTAACTTACATTACATGTCCCCAAATTCCTAACTTAGGTGCCCCCTGTTGACATTCACTGAGCATTATGGGGGTTATAATCCCAACATTTGGATGCCACCAGATTGGAGAAGGCTGCTCTGGCAGTTGCATCCATTATTCATGCTCACTGGGTATTTTGAGGATTGTAGTTCCAACTTATTTGGAGAGCACAAAATGGGGAAAGCTGTAGGAAAGCAAGATTTAAAAAGTGCCAAGAGCCACATCTCTATTGGCCATACTATATATAAAACCATGCCATTCTTGAAGATTTTACATTACCTTACTTTTAGGGGGGAGTAATTGTTAATGCATGTAACATTCTAACTCCTAAATGACAGGTAACCAAAGGGAATACCACTGAAGTATACCGTAAAAAGCATTTAAAAAAATTAAAATGAACACAATTTGCAATGATGAACTAGATGCAGTAAATTATTTGAATGCTAGCAATCATAGGTAGTAGAATGAAGCACATTCAGGACTTGTTTTCTAACATATACATGCAGCACTTTGCTGGACATGTGAAAGTGCCATATAGCTGTAATAATTTTGGCTCTATAAGAACAATGTATTAGATCCAAATGGAATTATTTGAACTTGGGTCATACTGAAATCAGTGGGATAAACTCCATTGTGATTTGTTCCGCTGATTCCAATGGGAATGAAGGACTGTACCAGGGAATTTGGATCCAAGTACAGTATTATCAACAGAGCTGAAGCTCTATACAGAGTAACCAGTACTTCAAAAACCAAGTGGTGGCACTTGGAACCAGCTGAAGCCTCCAAACCATTTTATAGAGCAGCATCATTAATAGGAAAGAGTCTCTCAGTTTCCTATTTTCTATGCCTGAAGCTCTGGTGGAGACCTAGCTGATGAGGACAAAAGAACATGCTTTAACAGAGGTTTTTTTCCCCATATAGCAAACTCCTAATTTATTTATTGTTGTTTG